ATTAGCTAAGCATGCTTGGTCTTGTATAAGAGACACAAATAAGAGACCAAACTCTACTAACTAGACGCCAAGATGGCCAACCATTGTACTCACACTTGTTACTTGCTCTAACATCAGTTGATTGAAAGACAACACTGTTCATTCAAGGAACAAAGGTCACTGAAGAAATTAGAAAGATACCTTGAAATGCTTTCCTAAATCTGCATGTTTCAGCTGAGACTATTTCAGGAAAAGAGACTTACCATCCCAGAAAAGGGAGATAAAATATATAAACCACAAGGCATTCTGAGAGCAGTTAAACGTTCTCTTCCGTGTTTCAGGTAACAGAACACCAGGGGTAGTAATTCCTCTTTGAACAGGTCGAAGTTACAAAATGGCAGACTCTGGGAGACAGTGATTTCTCATTAGCTCAGTGCAGCCCTCTCAGTATCACAGAAGCGGAACAGCTTCATACACAGAGCATAATGATCTTGACTGCTGCAATAGGACGTAAATTCTGAGAGAGGTGCCATTTTGTCCACATAGATTTGAAAAGTGAAGAATTAGACTAGCTTTTTAGTAGGACATGAGGTCTGCTTTTCCATGCTGTCTTTTAATGACACCCAGAGATTAAAATTTACATGTGATGCTTGATACTCATCAACAGTTCCTAGCATGGAATACATGTGAGCAGTTCTCTGCATTATGCCCTCCAGCACCAGCTGGTTTCAGGGAAGAGAAAGAATTGGGTTTGCCCTGAACTCAAATCTATTGCTTAGCTGCACCTGTTACTCAACAAAAGCTGCGTAGCTGACTGGTGAGAAAGTGTGCAAAAACCAAAATGGATTCAAGCTGATTTCCTTCACTTAGAGTAGCCCCCAGGTAGAATTGTTGGCTGGAACCCCTCACCAAAGAAGATCCAGTGGTAAGAACAACTCTACAATTTTTCATTTATTACAGGTAAGTTCCTTGACATTGCTCATGATTTCCTACCACACCGAGAGGTTTCATTCAGCTTAATAACATACGAATTGTCTGGGACTAAGGAAGCTAGAACAGCTTCTTTGTTTCTATAGTCCCGGGTGCTGGATATATTTGTACTAAGAATACTCTTCCAGCTCTCCTTTGGTAGCATTAAGCAACTTGTTCTCCCTCAGCTAGCTCTCATATACTGTTGTCAAACTACACACTAAGTTTACATCCTTGAATGTTAAAAACCAAACAAAATAAAAATTAGGGACTGCAAACCACGTCATCTGCACATGCACTGAGGCTACTTAGATGTCAAACACAGAAATCACTGTATCATCAAGCCTTTCCTCAACATAATTTCAGGCATGGATGCGGAAAATGTTAGCTTATGTGCTTATCTTTGAATACTCTGAGTGAGCACAACCTGCTTTTAACATAAACATGCCATGGCTTAGTAGGCAAGGACTACACAGATATGTAGGGCCTAGCAGCAAATTCCACTTGGCTGTTGAAGCAACCTAGGTAGGAACTTGCTTGCCTGATGTGCTCTTTAGCAGCACAATACATTAATTGACATACTGGTGCACAGACAGTTGTCTGTCCGGGAGACCGTTCATCTACAGACACCAAAAAGGCAAGTGCAAAGAACCTCACCAGGAATAATCACATACAGTAATTGCCTTGAAGTTTCTTCCTGTTTCCAGATAGTGGAAAGCCTGTGTTCAAGTAGAAAAGCTATTGTTGCAATATATTCTTTCCAACTATAGGTACGACTCTTCTGAGTTTTCACACAAATGCTTAACGCCCTCATGAAGGTCTACGCATTGATACATGTGCATTTGCTCAGTCCTCTTATGCACTGCATATTATAGATATCTATGGAGCAAACGTGGACAATAAGTTGTTAAACTTCATTGCTTCTCTGACAATTAACTTGCCTCTGTAAAGCTTTTTGTTGCACGGTTTCTCACTCTTCCAGTGAAGGACAAGTATCAGGTGCCTAGGTGGGCCCCACTCCTTTCCCTCGTGACTGCTTTCACATAATTGAGAAAAGTGAAAAAAGAAGGTAGGATTTCTGCTTTCATATAATTGAGAAAAGTGAGATCAGGATATTTCTAATGCTTTTGCCATGTCTGACTTTCCTCCATTCCTGCAGAGCTGAGGACTGCCATGATGACAAATAACACAAGGCGCATCATGACATGGGGGCCTTTGCATTTCTAATTATGGAAGAAGTTAAATACTCTGAAAATAAGGAACACCCTGGGAATACGAGGATGGGAAGACTTCTTACAGGAAACAGTTATCCTTTTGCACTCTGTCTGTGATTCCAAGCCTGTCCTTGTGCAGTTCTTACCACAGCCAGCATGTCTTGACATTTGACCCCTTGGAACTACCATAGGGACATTGCAACCTTGCCTCAGAACAGGGGGAAGAAGAGATCTACGAAGTCCAATCACTATTTGCCTGTCTGGGTATAGCAAGTAAATCCCTCTCTCCTGACAGTGAACAACTTTGCCATAATGTCCTACTACCTGAGCAACCACCAAGCAGTTCACATCACTGCAGCTCCCTATAACGGGGTATTACAACCTCTTTGTCATTGGAATGAGATTCGGACAATGCTCCCATTTTGTCTCCCATTGCATGAAGAGAGAGAATGTATTTTCTGCGCCTAAGTTTCCACAAGGCCAAAAAGAGGTTTTGAGCTAGATCAGTCATTTCTCCACTAATCTTCACCACCCAAGAAATCATTTTTCCAAGAATCCAAGTATCCATTTTCCACCATGCATAACATAGCCTGCCGTGTTTCCCCAGGTCGCCTGCAGAACTTCTAGAAGTTTTCATATATGAATATGCATACATGCATCGTTGTTCTCTGGTGAATACATATGGAAGGTACTGGAGATCAGATTGCCCTCAACATCTCCCGCTCGATATGCTTTTCTGAAAACACTTGTTTAGGCTCAGATGCTGTAGATGGAGCTGACAGTCAGTCAGCACACACGTAACTGGACTTGTGAGAATTACAAGATTGTAGAAACCCCTTAAAGAACAGCATATTCAAGTTTTCTAGGTTTGGACTCAATCTAGTCTGATTACTTTTTTAATTTATTTAATCCACACTATTCACTGCCATGAATGTTTTATTCTTGTTTTCTTAGATTTTTTTTATTGACTTTTTTACATCTTTAAAGAATGCACTGCTATCCTCCCTCTTCAAATATGAAAAAATAACAATTATGTTAGTCTACTGATGTGATAAAGAGTGTGAATTGTGTTGACTGTTCTAAGGCAATTATTCTGGAGCACATCCTATCATATTACAAGGCTTTTCAATAACTATTAAACGTAGCTTCTCAGTCTTCAGTTGCTGGGCTGACTGCGGGTATCCTTAAATCTGCACAGAAATAGTATCCACAGGAGTTGGGCTATTTGAACCTTGACAGCTGGAGAAATACAGTAAGTTCATGACTAGTTCACAGGGAGCCAACAGATGGGCACAGATCAGAAGGGCAAGGGTTATTTCCTCTATATACACAAAGAAGGTATCTTTTTATGTAATGTCTTCATTGCAGTTTTTCTTAACAAGGCCATTTTCATTTCCCTTCCTATGTGTTGGTGAGGTAGACAAGTGGTAAGATGGACATTTCCATTTCCTTTCTATGTGTTGATGAGGTGGACAAACATATAGTTTATGAGTCGTCTTCTCAAGCTCAGCTTCATATTTTAATATTCCTGCATAGGGATAAATACATTAGAGTCCTGAAGCTCTGCTCCTCCTCAAAGCAGATCTTTCCTTAAGCAGTTACTGGAATGTCTGAAGGGAGACATAAGCTCTGTCATTCAGGTCATTCTCATGCACCTCTACCAGACAACACAGTTAACCCTAAGAACTTTGTTATTTCATTTTTAATGACTGAATTGACTTGTAGGACTAGTATGCTTCCTTGATCATTCTTGACAAGAACTTGTGAAAGACCTTCACCTCCCTTGTTGCAATTGTCTATTTGGAGTTGACTACTTCAGGTCTGCATTTTCTTCAGAAACAATATTCAAGCAGCTGTACCCACTGATGTAGCTGCTTAGGTTGAGAAAAACAGCAAGTATTTTTCAACTGCAAAGGCCCTTGGATTTTTTTCTCATGCTCTTCAATGTCTGTGAAGGGATCAGAAGAGAACAAACGACAAATTCCGGGAGCTCACGATTTCATAATATCATAATTTATGCTTTTCCTCTCAAAAACGGGCTTGTGAGGACCAGAAACTATTTCTTTCCCTCTCCACTTGCAGATCCAGCAGGATGGATTCTAGGAATCCTTATTGCTCCATTCTGTTGCAATCCCATAGAGTTGTGTAGAGCCAAGGACTTGCTGTTTATTGCATCAGAATAAAGGATGAGTAAGTTTCCCTCCTGGATCATGGAGGAGACTCAAGAACTGCAGATGAAATAGCATAGAATTTAGAGCCCTTTACTCTCGATCTCTTTACTAGGTGACATGTCTTATTGCTTACCACATATTATGCACTGACTGGAACTGGAGTTCCAAACCAAGCTGGCATAACAAGTGATAGCCTGACGTTCATCTCCATCTGAGTAGTAATAATGTCATTCATTTGGAAAAAAATGGTAATATTTTGTTGCCTTTATTATGTAGACTTGCTGGGCTTCCAGCCACAAATAGAGCCTGCTGATGGCTTTGTAAACTTATCTGATACCTTTTGGTGGCAGAGAAGAGGCAACAGGTGCTTGTAATCTATCCAAGCTATTATTTCACCTCCTCTCCATACTATTACAACTTTCCCCTAACCCATTCCCAATGTATGATGTCAGCCACATTTAAACGTCACACTTATTTAACTCTGCTTTAAAACCACAGCAAGGCTTTGTTTTTGTTCACGGAACAGGACATGTAGTGTGCACTCTCTGGGTGCAGTAAGTCTTCAAGTAGCATACTGACATCTCTTCATCAGATAGTGAAAATCCCTCTGAATTCCCCCAGAACCTTTCCAGAGTTTGAGACTACTGGAATAAGAATGGTGTAAATATCACACTTCAACTGGTTCAAGCTGATTCAAATGGACTCGCATGAGCTGGATGCTGTTTAGAATCTTTTTCTGATGACCAACGAGGGTGATGCCAATACGCTGGATATCTCTGCAAGAGAACAGAGGATGTGGAAAACGTTAAAATGGGCTTCTTGTTCTGAACACTCCCAATTTCCCTGTAGAACTAAACATGTATGGTTGTATGTGTATGTGTATCTTTGTCTGAAAAACAATTGACAAGATTTCTGTCTCTACTTGTGTGTGTGTAGACAGAGTGTCAGCAGAACTTGATAAGTTATGATACAAAAGAAACCAGTAAAAGCGGGCCATGAAAATGATCAGAGGGCTGGAACATATCTCCTGTGAAGAAAGGCTTGTTGAACCTTGACACTTGGGGTTGTTCAGCCTGGAAAAGAGAAGGTTCTGGAGAGACCTTCTTGCAGCCTTTCAATATACACAGAGGACTTACAAGAAAGATGAACGGAGGCTTTTCACCAGGGCCTGTAGCAACAGGACAAGGGGCAACAGTTTTAAACTGAAAAAGAATAGGTTTAGATTGCATACAAGGGTGGTGAGATATAGGAACAGGTTTTCAGGAGATGTTGTATATGCCCAGTCCCCAGAAGCATTCAAAGTCAGATTGGATGGGACTTTGAGCAACCTAATGTACTGCCTACTGCAAAGGAAGTGGACTAGATGATCTTCAAAGGTCCCTTCCAACCCAAACCATTCTATAATTCTAAGAATGTTCCTTTTCCTTACTCCTCTCTTCTATGTAACACTTCAAACTAGTACATGGTATACGTGGTTCTACACATCTCCTTAAAAGTAGTTATTACCTGTTGCAGCTGTCATGAACGTTCTGATGTAACAGTATCTCTCTGACAATATTTTTGTGGTGTACCTGGGATCAATATTTGTGCTTATAGAAACACATTACCAATATAAAGTGGTGTTGAGGGTGTTCAGAGGCCCTAATAAGAGGTAAGAAACAGTAGCTACTTTGCTCTGGCTTCCCACTTATTGTGCATGTATTGTCCATACAGCTCTTACTAAACTGCTTTGACTTTCTGCATGGAAAACTCAGTGTCTGGTATCTTCTGCCACACTACTTACTCCAGAGTCATGTGTGATATGACATCAAATGTAATCAGACCAGCCTGGTCAAAATTCTCCTTGTAACGGCCCATCTTGATAGCATCCAACCACTCATGGGCATTGCTGAGTGAAGGGAAATCTGGAGGACAGTTGCTCAGGAGAGGCTGAGATGATCTGCAAAAGAGGAAGGTTCTAAAAACCTAAGTTACCAGCATCAGCTGCCTACACTAGTAAGGTAAGAGTTATGCGACAGAGAGAATGCAATCCCTGAAGAGCACATTACGGAGAATAATACTGTTCTTCATGCCCCAATTCCTAAAGTCCTGATCTTGATGCCCTGTTTCTAGACTAACTGTATTTCCTTTTCTGCCTGAAAACAATCAGCCTTCCTTCCCATTTTATACTCTCTTAGGCACATTCTCTCCTTGTTGCCCCAGATCTTTCAACACTTTCTGGATCTAGACCTATTAGCTGGGCAAAGAGCTGCAGTGAGGAAGTTTCTGAGGCAGAACAGAGAACTTACACCGTTTTATCTTTGTGACTAGCTCTCCCTCTCCTAGATGCACTCCCTGATTCAGAAAGTAACCTATGAGACAATGAGTGCATTGTTTCAGCTCCAACACTCATCAGACAAAAGTATAGCAGTAAAAGGCCAAATAAATGACAATAAAAGAGCATTTGCTCTTCTCCCCATCATCTGAATTTGTCTCAAAGCTATAATTCTTCTTATCCATGGTTATTAGTAAACTGGGCATGACTAGGCACTTTTCTCCTCATTCAGCTCTACAGTACTGAGACAAGGTTTATAACCACGAGGAAAAATCCTCCACGCCTGCGGGATGTAATTTCATCATCATCCCAACAACCATTTAATCTTAGTGTTATTTACCCTTCTAGAGACTTCTCCTTTGCTGATCTCCTGCCTCTGGTTCCATCAGGCTGAAACATGCAATTGGTAAAATATGAGATGTAAGATCTATTTCTAATTAGTCTTAGCTATAGACATCTTCCCTTTCTTTGTCACCTATTGTGAACACACAATACTGTGTGATCACGGAATATCTTGTGTAGTTGCACCCAGATGCGTCCCTCCATTCCCTAAGATCCCTCACTCACTCATTCTCAGTGCGTTTTATCAAGAGATTTACCTCCCCTCATATTCAGCACTCAGAACTCCTCACCACCTATTGAGTGAATCAGGATATACAGTTCTTCCAACCCTTTCACTTTTTTCCCTCCTATTTGTTCCCAGTCCCAGATGAAAGGCTTGGAAAAGATACTATATAGCCTATTTAGTACTTGCTTTTCCTCATGATGCCAAAAGACAAGCCCTATTATTTTGCAATAAATCTTCATCTCACCTGCTACTCCCAGTGCCAGTGGCTTTAAGGGCAGATGGTTTGCGAATCATTTTATCTAGAGCACTGACTATTTGCTCAAATTTGGGTCTCTGGACTCGCTCCTTCTGCCAGCAGTCAAGCATCAGTAAGTGCAAAACAGTGGGGCAGTCTGGGGGTGGTGGCAGGCGATAGTCTTGATCAATAGCATTAATTACCTGCAGGAAAAGAAGGACAAAGCTTTATCACAGCTGGGAAAACAAAAGACAAACAAGCTTCAATCACTCGATGGTATATGACATTCTTCTAATTGAACTGACGCAGGACAGAGAGGCGGATGTACATTCTCACCCCTTATAAAACTTACATCTTGATTGGACATGTCCCAGTAAGGTCTCTCACCATAGGACATCACCTCCCACATGACAATGCCATAGCTCCATACATCACTGGAGGAGGTGAACTTGCGATACTGGACAGCTTCAGGGGCAGTCCAACGAACAGGGATTTTACAGCCCTAGAAAGCAGTCAGAGAGCAACCATAATGTTAGTGAGATAAGGACTATTTGTGAAAATGACATCAATGAACTGATCAGATACCGGTAGCACAACAAAACTCAGAGCATGGGATGCCAGGCTAGTTGATGCTGTCTTGTAGACATTATTGGTTTAAATTCAAATTATATCCAAGGTTTCCATCTTGTTCTATTGACAAATACAGGTTAAAAAAAACAGAATCATGCCTCCTTGTTCCTACAAATCATAGTATCATAGAACGCTTTGTGTTGAAGGGGACCTTTAAATGTCATCTAGCACAAACTCTATGCAATGAGAAGGGACATAATCATAAATGCCATGATGTAATAGATTTTAATTTGTATAGCTCTTTGATGCAGCATTTGAGAGGTGGTAGATAGTAAAATTCTCCTGAAAGCCACAAACATTTGGAAATCTCAAGCCATTTAAACAATCCCAACCTGCAACACTGTGTGGCTAGTATTAACTCCTTCCTCTTTCCATGTTGACCTCTCTGACTGCAGGTATGACCTGCCAAACAAAGTATCATTCTACAAAGAGCACCACTGAGACTCCATTTCACACGAGAGTGGAGCAGATATTCAGTTATTTTTAATTTTTACTGGTTTGGAAGAGATAGCCCACAAGATTGAAGACTCTGTGCCACTAGTCTCTTCGGTCTCAAGACTAACTAAAAAGGGTACACCAAATCAAGGAGGAACATGGAAAAAAATCATAGCTGGCAGCACTGCATAGAGGTAACTCACTCCATAGAGGTAACTCACCAGAGCTCCAGTATAGGTGGGATTTGAAGCATCATCCTCTAGAAAGCGGGACAAACCAAAGTCTGACACCTTGCACACAAGGTTACTGTTGACCAAGATGTTACGTGCTGCCAGGTCACGGTGCACATAGTTCATGTCTGAAAGGTAGCGCATGCCAGCTGCAATTCCCCGTAGCATTCCCACCAGCTGTAACACACTGAACTGTCCCTCCTTCTGCTGCAAGTGAGGAAGCAAATACAGGCTTTTATGACCACAGAACAGGAAGTCAACATGAAAGACTAACAAAGAGCAAGGTAACAAGGTGGACTTATGAAGTTAGAGAACATACATCTTAACTTCGGCAAAAATCTGAAGGTTCAGGAACAGCAAATAAGAAAGGAGGGTGGGCTTAAAGCAATGAATCTCAAATGAAGTCAGACATCAGTGACCTTTTTCTGAAGACAAATTTCATCTTATGGCCGTATTTTCCTTTAGCATCCTACACCTAGTGTCATTAACTACTAAGATGACTAAATGAATGGGAGCAGACAAATCTGCTCTTATTATTTCAAGATCTTTACAATCGCTTCTGTATAATTCTACAAAATAGGCTCATGTGTTCTTCAAAATATGCCAGCCAAAGCATTTGGATCTGTAAAAAAAAAAAGGAATGAAGCATCTGTACTACAAGAATGTCTGTATTATGTTTCATTATTAGTAAAAACACTGGGAACTCTGAGTCCAGAAATAACTACAACTTTCCTTACTTCCTTAAAATGTTGAAACTTTAAATATTCAGTGGAATAAACTCTGCAAAACCTTTTTAGAATGACAAATTTTGGAGCATGCACATAAGGAATTGGAAGACTGTGAACAAAGATAAACAATATAGTACTGTTTACCATTTATTATTTGAGCTGGAGAAGTCTAAAATAATGAAGAATTTTTATACGATGAGTGAGATTTTGGAATATTTTCACCATGTTGGCTCAAAACCACTTACTCTGGTAATTTGCTATTATTTCTATTGCACCTGAAGAGAGCAACTGAGGACTTATAGAGACAGGAGTGAAGAGGAAGGACAGGCAAAATTATCAGATCTGAGACTGGCACACAGCAAGATGAAGAGGTAGCAGTTGTGGGAGACTCTGGTTCTGGTACCCTGAGGAAGGAATCCAGCGATCCATTCTCCATGAACTCTGTGACAATCATGACTGGTCGGCTCTTTGTGACCACACCCTCCAGATGGATGACATTGGGATGATCAAATTGCCCCATGATGCTGGCCTCACTCAGGAACTCCCGTCGCTGTTCATCTGTGTAACCTGACTTCAAGGTCTTAATAGCTACTGTGTATTCACGCTTCCCTGGGTGTTTTAGACGCCCAAAGCACACCTCTCCAAACTCTCCTGTCAGGGAGGGAAGAAACACACCTCAGGTAAGGAAACACAGCAAAGAATTTTAGTCGGGGGCGCTAAAACATTCTACTGTGGAAGACTCCAGGCACTGCTTGGAAATAGGGTTGCTAGGACTGTTTGGATTTAAGGTAAAGTGCCTGATGAAGTCTCAGGTTGAAGACTACATCTTCAAGGTTTAAATGAGGAGCTCTGAGTCTTCGAACAATGCTTTAAATTTTGTTTGGAGCCAGCATCTAAGGGTAAGTAAGTTAAGGTGAATTTTCATAAAAATGAAGGTTAGCTATCTCAAGACACTTTGTGTACCATGGTTGGGTCCAATTCAGGCCAGTCATGTCCTAGGTCTCAAGGTGAACAAGAAGACACTTCAATATCTGCAGTTTCTCACACTACCTGATCCAATGACCTCCTCAATCTTGATGAAGGACACATCAATCTCCTTGGCAAATTCTCGAATAGCTTCATTGGAATCTTCGTAGGTTGAAGGATCAATGTAATACTTCACTCCAAGTCCTACAGTGGAGAAGACAGCCCAAACCATCACTAGAATCAAACCCTGTGAGATATGGGTGGTAATGAGTCCTGAAATGACACAGACCCTTTCCATCTGTTGCTCTGGAACTCTTACCTCGTGTAGTGATATACTGCTGGAGGCGGTCTGTATATGGAGTCTCTCGCCTTTTCCTGCAGGACATAAAGGAAGGGAAAGTCAAAACACACACCAGACTCTCTAATAGCACGTTAGGGTAGGCTTCTTAATGCACTACTCAGAGATTCCTTGAATTAAGGTGTAGAAGATGGATGTTAAGATCTTGCCCATCTGTTAGTAACCACTACATGTTTGTTTTCTATATGGTAGCTTTTACATTGCCATCTTCCTGTTTTAGATATGACAAATGCTAGGGCCTCCAGCATTACTCGGAAAAAAAAAAAATAATTACAGTGTAACATCACTGTCTTGCAAATTTTCTTGCTGTTCATGATAAATTTGCATTTTAATTTTGCTTAATTACAACAGGTTATTCTTTTCAATACTAATCTAAGCCATCTCCTATGATGTCTTTTAAGTTCTTCAAAAACATTGTAAGAGCTATTTACTCTCATGCTTAATTTGTATAATTTTTCCCAAGATTAATTCTGCTTTATTTTTCCTCCTGGTCTCTTAATAGTACTTCTTTCGACTATTTTTTTCATAAATATGGTATCCAAAACCAACCATGCATAGCCAGAAGGACAGAAAGCTGTTCCATGATGTGATTTTTGCATATGCAGATCAAAATGGGTATGTTTTTTATTACTGTAATATTTTGTAATATTTATTGCATATATGCATCTAATTTTCAGTAAGCGTAAGTCTTTCTCAGCACAGACTTTTCTCAGATTTCATTCTCCTCTTAAATGTGTATGATTCAAGTAATTTTTTCCCACGTGATCTAGCTGTTTTATAAGTTTCATCTTATCCTTGTTTTTCTCTAAACATATTTTCCATTTTGAAGTCACTTCTTTTGTTCCCAATGGTATTTATACTTCTTTTCCAAAAATGTACAATTCATGCTAGTTTACAATCTTTTCTAAATCACACTGACTAGACTGTAAATCAAACCCTCTGGTATCCTTTAGTATCCCTGTTGTGTGCATGGATTTGTGTCAACTCATATGCTTTGCTGATTCAGTACAAGACCTTCTAGCTGATGATGACAGAGTATCATGAAACATTGCTACTTTCCTAAAATAATTCTGTTACACTAACGGGTTACTTTTGGCAGGCTTATGTCTTTAAATTCTGCTAAGATTGCAAAATCACAGATAGTTTTACCTTCGAAATCTGTTCTGCTTTACTGGGGACCTATACCTAGGAGTTCTAACTCAATTAGACGCTGTTGCATCTGAAAGTCAGTCTAAATTCATGGGGTTTTTACAGGTTATCTGACACGCTAATGGTTTTCAATCATTTAAAAAAACTAGCCAAAAGAGGTGTTACACATTGTGTATTGCCTGAAAAATGTGTACCAACAACTTACAAAAAGAAGTTAAAACTGTAGCATTTGAATCTACGTATTTTCAACCTATTAAAGAATTATTCAATTAATGTGATGTTTCCAATTTCCTGCTTCTTCAAACCTGCAAATTGAAAGTACAAATTTGCTATCTCTTTCTGAACAACTGTCTATAAATTGCACATGATCCTTCAAGTACAAGTGAGTCTTTTATGACATTTCTTATTATGCAGATACATTTACAGAAAACCCATTAATGTCTTTCCTCCACAGAGTTTTGGTTATACTAATTTATTTTGGGTTTGGTTTATTTTTTTTTAAATATATGTTTTATTGAGTTGTGCACATAATAACACATTTCCAGCTATAACAAGAAATCATATTTGTAACAGTCCAAACCTACAGAAGGAGGCAACAATGCAAATATAACAATATTTGTTAATCCTTTTCATTCCAGAAAGAAAAATATTAAAAAAGAATATACACAGGAGAAAACAAATGTAGAAAAGGGAAGAGAACAAAAAAGAAATGATTAAAAATAGATGTCACATTCTTAAGTAGTTTATACATTTTATTAGGTCAGCAGAAAAAGCTGAAAAAGTCCCTCTAGTGCAGAGGCAAAGGAGAGCAAAGATACAGAAATCCATTCTGACAATCTAGATTAAGTGATTAAATTCAAACCTCAGTAAATTCAAGGAGCAGGTAATGACTGTTCCTTTTCTTCATATAAAAAGCCCCCCATTGTTTACTTCTGTACATGTACAAAAGTAGCAATGCCCACTTTTCTCTCTTTCTCTTTAAAACTTCTGTCCTCTTTTGTTCCCATAACAGATTATCTCTACATTGATTTATCTGCCCTTTTTTCTTTCCAAAAGTGGTACGTGCTTTCTTGAACCTCTAATTTATGAGTTAGTATTATAGTTTATGAGTTAGTGTTGCACAAAACCACTGGTGTTGTACAGATTTTATTCTTCAGAAAAGGAGCTATTGTCTCTTGGTCCTTGGTTAAAGGGTATTTAGCACCTCCTAAATAAGTAGATCCAAATGTTTATTTTACCAGTCCTTCTTCACTCTACTGTTTCTTTCTTCACTCGCTTGCCTAAAATTCAATTTACAGTCCCTTTTTTACAGTGATGCATTTCAATACCTTTTGAGCACCAGTTTTCAATGCTTCCCTTGTGTGAATTGCTAAGAAGCCAAATACCAGCATGAGTGGTTTACCAAAGGAGAGGCTCCTTAGATAGGAGTAACGGGGCAGGATCTTCCCCTAATTAGAAAATGGCATCTCAAAGACATCTGGATAAATATAGATCAGGCTCCTTCCCTTATGACGGGCTTACGTAGCAGGGGTAAGAAAGTTCCACTGTCTGCAGTGCACACAAGTAGGTCAAGGAATTCACCTCTTAAAGATGATGGCAAGGATGGCAATGGCAGCAATTACCAGGAAGGCTAGACCACCGAGCGCTGAGCCCACGATAAGCGGCAGTCGGTCCTGCACCATCTCCGAACGCTCTTCTGGCAAGGAAGACACATGCATACACACACACAAACACAGAGAACAGGAAATGTTAGAGTCTCCCTTCTACTCACCTCGATCTCATGCATGATTCCATCCCTACCAGCTCTTTGTTTCCCAGGCTAGTCCTGGCTATTCAACAAATGCTTGACTTGGTTATCCCTCTACCCTTTCAGTCACCGTGCTTCTCCAGTGCCTGTCTTTCTGCCTCTGGAAAGCCAGCGCTCCCCCTTAATCCACTTTTCCTTTCCCTGGTTCACTGACACCTGGTTAGCCACTGAAGTGTAAGCTAGCTTTACACCTGGGCTATGATCCCATTGTCTCCTATTAATTCAGCTTGTAGATGACAGACATAAGTACCTTTGATCTAGACCAGGGAGTATGACAAGGTAATATATTCCTCTCTGCATGATGGTGATACTGCTTAAAGGCAAGCTTCTAGCTCTATGTCCTGTGTTCCACTTATCTTTCAGACTTGCACAGAGCATTCAGCTCTAAGGTGTCCCGTTGACAGCTGAAGACCAAACTACAGCAGTGTATAGTGCTATGTTTGGCAACACCATCCTGAAGAGAGCTCTAGATGTGCAGAGGCAGCAAGAAATAGGACTGGGGAATCTGGTGGCAGTGTAAACAATACGCTCGGACAGCATGAAGCTTCTTTGAGTGAACAAATCTGCATATGGAAATTATGATGTACAGAAATACAAGTTGAGCAGTAGTGTCTGGTAGCAGTCCTTCAGGGACTAAGCTAATACACTCAGGGACACACACAAGTGAAAGATGGTCCCCTGCAGATCTGAGTACAAAATGGTAGCACTTACTTCCTGTTAAAGTCTGGAAATACATCTTTCCACTGTACGGACCATAGCCCACTGCTGTTCTAGCTCTTACTTGGAAGGCATAGATCTTGCCTGGGCTCAGATTTGATATGGTGGCCATGTTGGTTTCGCTAGTCAAGATGAATGAATTATCTTCATCTTCTGCCTGTGAACATTAGTGAGAAAAAAGGAATGTGAGACTTCTGCACACATTGCTTGATTTCCTCATCAAGGAATGCTAGATTTGGAGTCATAACAGATGTGAATGGAGAACAATTTTGTATTTGCCATCCTATAATTCCAGCACATAAACAGGTAACTGATAATAGATAACAGGTAACACATTGAAGGGAACCTTGAGGGACCTTGAAAGGGTTGCTCGGTGGGCCTACGCCAACTTCATGAAGTTCAGCAAGGCCATGTGCAAAGTCCAGCACCTGGGGTGAGACAATCCCAAGCACAAATATAGGCTGGGTGACGAGTGGGTTGCGAGCAACCTGGCAGAAACGGACTTGGGGGTGCTGGTGGATGAAAAACTGAGTATGAGCCAGTAATGTCAGCTTGCAGTCCAGAAAGCTAATTGCATCCTGGGCTGCATCAAACCAGGTGTGGCCAGCAGGTCAAGGGAGGCGATTCTCCCCCTCTACTCTGTTCTCATGAGATTCCACCTGGAGTACTGCATTCAGCTCTGAGGCCCCCAACATAAAAAGGACATGGATGTGTTGAAGTGAGTCCAGAGGAGGGCCACAAAGATGATCAGGAGATTGGACCACTTCCCCTGTGAAGAAAGGCTGAGAGAACTGGGATTGTTCAGCCTTGAAAAGCAAAAATTCTGAGGAGATCTTAGAGTGGTGTTCCAGTATTTAAAGAGGGGAGGGACTCTTTATCAAGGAGTGTAATGATAGGACAAGGGGTAATGGCTTCAAACTGAGAGAGGGTAGATATAGCTTAGATATTAGAAAGAAATAATTTTCTGTGAGGGTGGTGAGGCACTGGAACAATTTACCCAGAGAAGTTGTGGATGCCCCTTCCCTGGAAGTGTTCAAGGCCAGGCTGGATGAGGATTTGAGCGACTTTATTCTAGTGGAAGGTGTCCCTGCCCATAGCAGGGGGGTTAGCACTAGATGATCTTTAAGATCCCTTCCAACCTAAACCATTCTATGATTCCATTATTCTCTCTCTGCCACTTAGTGAATGAGAGAGTACATTCCTCCTCCCAAAATTTCTTACAAGATGTCTGTCCAGGCATAACTGGAGACACAGAACTTTCCTCCACAGACACATGACAGAATGTTGCAGTGAGTCTAATTCCAATGTACACATTTGGAAACTTCAACTCCTTCCACTTTTACCTGTGTCAGGTGGTGCTAAACTCATTAGGTTGTTAGTCACAGCTTTTTAGCTTAGCTACACATATCTCCTCTTTTTTTATTTGCATTGACCCTAAATGGTTCAAAGCTGTGAAATGAAGATGGGCTGGTGTTCAATGAAGCCTATATTATGAACTTGTGCTTTTCCTACAGCTTCCTTTCCCCTCATAATTGAAACATTTTTCTCTGCCTTACCCATCCTGATCCAGGAGTGCATCTTTCAGACAGAAGACTCCCCTGTTCTCTTTTTTTGTAACAGCTATACAACAATGAGCACTGCATCACTTTCTGCTCACCTTGTCAAAGTAACGCAGTTGGTAATCCAGGATGATCCCGTTGGGCTGGTCTGGCTGAGGCCATGAAAGTGTGATACTAGTGGTAGTACGACTCACCTGATGCATCATAGGGACAGCAGAGGGGACTGGAATAAAAGAAAGCAAGGAGAGGTTGCAAAGACATAAGCTTAACAATGAACTATAATTGAATATTCATTATGATAAATTATTATGGTACGTCATCTCTCCCTTTATTTTCTCTTAATTCACACTATGAAGTACTTTATAAAATAACCAGAAGAAATCCAGGAAAAATTCTACACTCTTGGAAGATAGTCATTGACAACTTGGACAGGAAGAAAGTTAAGAAATATATATCCAACAGGTCAACGATGAACAAGAATTATGAAATTATTTATATTGATCTGGAACATTATTCTGATCCTCAAATTTCAGTTCTCATAGAATTATAGAATGTCTTGGGTTGGAAGGGACCTTAAAGATCATCTAATTCAATCTCCTTGCCATGGGCAG